AGTGAGCCACAGGGAAACCTCTTTGTGCTCCCTGGGCAGGCGTCGCAACGGCGCTGGCCCCCTAAACCCATCGCGGGGCTACCCGCTAAGGGCAGGCGCGGGGCAAACCGCAGCCTGTAAAACAAAGCTCACCCTCGGCCGTCGTAGTGCTTCCTGCGACCATTCTCCTAGCCCTCTCCGTGGATCACCTGAGAGCCTCTGGAACGGTCTCGGCACTCGCCCTTGAACGTCTCGATCCACTTCTGCGCAGCCTCTGGACTGCTGATGTCCTGCAAGCTAAGCTTGGCAAGAGGTCCATGCGCTGTAGCCATCACCCGCAGCTGCTCGATCTCCTTGGCCTGGCGATCCGACAGAACACCTCCGTGCTTGATCATCCTCGTGACCAGGTCTTCTTTGATCCCTGACACGGCCAGGCTCTTGGCCTTCAAGACAGCTCGCAGCTCAGCCACAAGAAACGTGTTTAAGAGCTTGTGCCTTGCACCTTTGTCCTGCTGTGCACACACGGTCTTGAACTCGACGTCAGCCCGCGCAGATGGTGGACACGTGCTTCCAGAGGCGGGGCTAACCGCACCCTGGAGGAGGAACTTGTCGTAGAAGTTCTTGAAGTAGCAACCACACCAGCACCCCAATAAGAAAGTACTCGCTGCAGTCACCATAACAAGTCCCAACATCAAGTAGAACCTGAACTCCTCGCTCTCCACATAGTGGCTGACAGGCGCGGGGCAAACCGCAACCTCGTCAGATCCTCCGTACACTGTCACCTTCTCGCCTGACGCCTTCGTCACGACCTCCGTGAAAACTGCCATTGCGCTCAAGCCCGTCATCTGCTTTCCGAACCTGAGGTTGAGAGTGGTGCAATGCTTCTCGATTGTCGGCCACTCGCTGTACTTCGTGAGCATGTCGGCTGTCATCTTGCTGGTGTCCTCCTTGTGAAGCTCGAACGCCTTGAGACGCAACCGCTCCTGAATCCACAAGTACCTCAGCTCCAGATGCCTGACCTTGCCCACCCCAACTCGGCTGCACATGCCACGTCCAGCTGTGCTGTCACTATAGATCTTCAGGTTGCAGGGCCTCTGGGTCTCGATCAGGTAAGTCTTACACTGAAGTCCTCTGGCTGTCGCACTTCCCGTAGCATACATCTCGGATTCCCCTGAACTTAGGGCTATCGTACTCTGCGTCACTGAGTAGCAGTCCCAAGTGTGGTCGCCATACCTCACAGCTCCTCCACTGGTAGATCGCCGCTGTAGTTCACTCGTAGGTGCCCAATCCGCATCACCATCTACACGAATGCCTTCAGGAGTACCTTGAAGTGGGTAACACCAGACCAAAACAGGCTGTCCTTCGTAGTACCTTCCAAGTCGCTGAACACGCGCATGCATCAAGACGTTCGGGTTGGAGACGTGCTGCATCGCTGTCTTGCTGGCGTACATCGTGTCGGGCCTGTCCGAAGAAAGGTAAAGAGCGGTGCCTGCTGCACCCGCCACTTCTCGAGCACGATCCTTGGAAAGAAGGTCTAGGCTGTCTCGTCGGCCTTGTCCTGTAGCTTTCGTTCCTGGAGTAGGAGCTGGTTTACAACCTCGCTTCTGCGTCCACTTGATCATGAAGTCCACATGCTTGGGATCGGCAGTCCAGAAGAAACCTGGCTCCTCGCAACCTGGCAACTTGTCGGTGTAGCCGATCGTCCTCTTGAGGTATGTAGTCTGCCCCACCGCTCCTGGTCCAAGTCTGGCGCTGGCCGTGACCTCAAACTGCTGCTTCAACAACTCGTCCAGCTCGTCCAGCTGCTCGTCGTAGCCTTCAGCAAGAAAGTCATCGCCATGGCAGATCGCTGTGCTATCCTCGTCGAAGGGGGCTGTGTTGGGGCTAGCAGGTAAGTAGAACACGTTAGGAGTTCCAACCAAGCATTCCCAATGGCCGTCGTCCATAGTAGTTCTCACAAGCTCACCCCACATCTGCGACGCCTTCCTGGTACCGTTCATGGCCTTGCGTAACCACCAGCACCTTCCAGGCGGACACAGCTCTCTCCCAGGATGCACGTAGATCGTCTCGTCTAAGTCAGCGTTGAAGAAAGCCTTCCTGACGTCCCAGACTTGTATCTTCCGCAGGTGCTGCCCGCTGGAAGTTGGACTTGAAGCGGCACGGCTCAGCGTCGCTCTGACAATCATGAGCGGGGGCGTGCCTTGGTGGTTGTCCTCCCTGACCTCGTACTTGTTCACCTCGGTTGCTACGAACCTCCACCTGACCTTTCCTTCTTTCATGTGGGCTATCGGGAAACCTCCAATGTGCTTGCCGTCAGTCGCCGTCGATGTCGCCACTTCCACGTAGACCCCGTAGTCTTTCATGGCCTGCAGCTCGTCGTCGCGACCCTTCTGATACAGGTCCTCATCCAGAGGCTCTCCAGTATAGTAATCGTAGTGTATCGTCTTTGGGCTCCACTGGTCTTTCTCATGCAGCTCGGCGCTCACCTCAACCATCTGCTCCACCTGCTGATCCTCAGGATCTCCGAAGTGGCTCCTGATTGTGCCGATGTGGCTCATCAAACATCTCCTGCATGCACACTCAGCTTGGTGGCATTCTCGTAGCTGGCATCGTGACGAGTGCTTCTCACACCTCTCGGAACATCTCGCACTGCGCTTTGGGTGTGGATCCCACATGGGGTCGAAGCTCTCGTCGTAGCCCTCCTCGCAGACTGCCAACTCACAGACAGAGAGATGCCCAATGCTTGCTACCCTGGGCTTCTTGACCTCAGCTCCTTCACGAACTTCACCTGGGGCACTTCGCCGAAAGTCGCTCCTGAGCTCGCCATTCTCCGTGTCCATGGCTGTCTGCACCTCAGCCTCTCCTGGGCCAGGGACCATAGCTACGTCGCTGGCAGCAGGTGCGGGGCTCACCGCAACCTCACTGCTGCTTGATGCCGCTGCTCCTCCTGGTGCGGCTCCAGGCGCGGGGCTACCCGCAGCCGGTGCTGGCACCACGACTGTAGCCTCAGGGGCCACAGGGTCCTTTGCCAACTTCTCGCGCAGCAAGTCGGCCTGAATGGTCTCGAAACGCTGTCGGCAGGCTGCCGAATGCGAACCGTATCCTGTACTGCACTTCCTGCACTCGTCAGTAGGACCATGAGCATCGATCATGCGCTCCGTGATGTACATGCTGCGTCCGATCGTTCCTGAACTCTTGTCGGGCGTCTGCTTCCAGGGCGTCACCCTGATGTGCTGGATGAGCTCGGGCTGCCATCTGAACTCCTCAGGCATCCTTCGCACCGTTCTGACCTTCTGCACTCCACGTTCAGGATCGATCACGAGATGTGTGTCGTCCAGCTCACTCTTACCAACCCAGATTCCTTTTGCGAAGCGGGCTTCCCATTTGCCACGTCCCGCGGCAACTCTGGCTGAGATCCGATACCAGACCTGCTCACCCATCTCCGCAATCTCGCCGTTGTACTCTTTGCCGTAGAGCATCTTGTAGGAGGAACCTCCGTGACTGCGAGGCTGGAATCTGGTAATCATCCACCCCACTGAGTTCACAAGCCATGGCACGATCGGATCCGTCATCTTGATCTCACAGCCCAGCTTGTGCTCCAGCTTCAGCTTGTAGGCTCGAAGTAGACCAGCTGCTAGCTTGTTAGCTCCTTCAGCGTAGCCTGCACTTTGCTTGGAAAAGGGCGGTGATCCCCGCACCAAGGTTGAGTGTGATCTGCGATCTCGAACTGCCTGCGCCAGAGCCATGGTGGCAGGCTCCTGGTCTGTCTGAAGTATGACTGTTGTGTGGCCCCAAGCTTCCAGCACGCCTAGCAGGAAGGACACCTTGTAGTCATCCGTCTCCTTGTTCGCGTACAACGTCGCCTGAGCCAAGATCTTACAGTCGATAACATTCAAGACAGAGACCGCTTGGTCTAGCTCGGCCTTCGTGACCGACATCTTCTCCCTGATGCTGAAGTAACCTCCTTTAAGCTTGTACTTCGCAGCCAGCTGGTCCGTCCCTACGTAAAAGATGTCGAACATGACCTTCGGGATCTTGTTCTCATCAGCTGGTTCCTGAGCGTGGTGTGGGTCATCGTCTGCTCGAGCCTGCACGCAGATGGGACACCAAGGCCGAAAAGGTAGATGATGCCCTTCGTGCGCGGCTCTCTCCGCAGCACTAGGTTGGTGAGGAGTCTTCAACACTCTCGTTGGCACAGTTGTGGTCTCATCAGCTTCAGGACCTAGAACCTTCGGCAAAGATCCAGCTTCCTGTTCAGCTGGTACCTTCCTCGGTAGCGTCTTTCGGACCGCAGCTACCTTTGAAGCTTCTGGTTGAGTCTGGCCGTCGATGATGTGATCGTACTCTAAGTAGTAGTTGCCTTGGTGACGCCGTAGAGGTACGAACTCAGCTCCGTCAGGTGGCTCGACGGTACCGTTGATGATCCAGTGACCTGCAGGGCTATGAAGAACACTCTGACCACGTTGTACTACAGCATCTGTAGCCACAACTGGGTACTCCACATCGGCAACCTCTGCACCGACTTGAATAACCTCTCCTCCTCGGGATAGGTTCAGCTCCACGTGGCCGTACCTCTCGATCTCCTCGCCTCCTATGCCCTTCAAGCCGACAACGTTGCTGTCCGTCGGCGTGTAGTTATGCTTGGTCACCTGTGATCTCGGTATCGCACTGATCTGCGCACCTGAGTCGAGCATGATCGCATTCCGAAGCGGGGCTAACCGCAATCGGTCATCTGCAGGGCTCTGATCTTCATCCACGGGCCGAAGACCAGCGACGGTGACATGCCTGGGGCCGGCCAGCGCGGGGCTCACCGCTGCTGGCACATCGCAGCACTTACTGATAGTCTTTCTTGTGCTTCTTTGGTCTTGGCTTCTCGTTGTCGTCTGGCTCTTCCTTGTCCTTGAACCAGTTGTCCAGGCAGTACTCGGCACACGCGGCACAGTAGTCCAGCTTCCACTGATCGAAGTGCCATCGCCATCCTTCAAAGGTCTTCTTGCAAGAGCAGCAGACATATTGGTGGTAGCTAGGCAAGCAGTACTTCCAGTCGATCGTGTGGCTGCGCTTCTTGAGACCTCTGCCCTCAGGGCCAGAATCATCTTCGCTTGCAGCGCGCAGTTGACTGGGCGCAGCACCTGCTGAGTCATCGCGCTGTCGGCGCTTCCTTGACTTCCCAACATCTGTTGTGTAGGTGCTATCGAACTTGTTCCTGTGCCCACTCCTGCCTGTCGTAACCTTTCGAGCTCCCTGACTGCCGCTGCCCCGATCTTCTTCTTTTCTTTTCCCTTCTCTTTTCGGAGCTGCTTCTTGTCCTTCTTGTCCTTCTCGGATGTATTCTTCTCGTCGGCGATCCGCTTTCGGCAGTTTGCGCTGCGGTGGCCCTTCTTGTGACAGTAGTGGCACTCGATCTCGGCGTCGGGATTCGGTGGCCTCTCCTTGCCCTTGCCGTCTTTCCCTTTGCCGCGGCCTTTCCACGGTCTCTTTCCGCCCTTCAGCGCGCCTATCTCCATCGGGTCGTCCTGAACCGCTCGCTCTGCCATCAACGCCGACACCACCTCGGCTCTCAGGAGCTCGTACGTACTTAGCCGACTGCTGTTCCGAAACACGTGCTTCTGCAGCTCGTCGTGATCCTTCAGCGCCTTTGTAAGGATGCCTCGCTTGATCAGGTCCGAGACTGGTTCTCCTGCCATCTTCTGGTACCTTGTCATGTCCTCGTCCAGCTTGCTGATGCTCACCATCACGTCTTCTTTGGCGTCGAACTTCGTGTCCGTGAGCTTGGTCCACATCGCCAGCACGTTTCCTGCCTCGCTCGGGTTGTACTCCTTCTGAAGTTTCCTCCAACACTCGGCTCCTTCTCCTACTGGGCTGTTCCTCACGATCAGCTCGCCTACTGAGTCCTCGGGCATCGCCAGGACCAGGCCGTAGTACAACTGCGTGCTTAGCTCTTCCTCCTGCGCGTCCAGGTTGACGTTGTCCACCTCCTGGGCTCCGTCCTCGCACCTTTCCAGAAGATCTCGGTACCTTCGATCCTGGGCGATCAGGTACGCTCTGTACTGGAAACTGAACGTCTTCCAACTCGCCCTGTGGCCGTCGAACGGCTTCACCTTGTGAAGAATCTTCGGATCCATCATCTCGCCGCGCGGGGCTACCCGCTGCTGCTGAGCCTGTTGCTGAGCTTGAAGCTGACCTCGCATCTCTGCGATCGTCACGTCTCTGTTCTGAAGTTCCTGTCTCATGTTCTGACTCTCCGTCGTCAGCCTCTGAACTTGATCGACCAGTTGCTGCAGCTGCTGCTCCATCTTGATAGTCTAGCACGTCGCTGACACGCTTCCCTATCCTCTCGATGTCGCTTCTCAGCTGCCTCGTCACCGCTGCTCGCTCCTCCTGCGTGAGCTGCGCTCTGCTGCCGCACGCCTTGAGCTTCCTAAAGGCGGTCCCTCGGAGCTCGCGGTGCTGACGCGTGTCCGCCGACCTGCCTCCTCGCTTGTTCGGCTTCTTGGCCTTCTCCGTGGCTGCTTGGCCTCCACTGTCAGAGCGCGGGTCTGACCGCAGCTCTGACTAGCAAGGGGTCCTCTCGGCGCTCGCGTGGATCGGCCCGCCAGCTGCTGAGGGGCTCCTTGAGCTCGCCGGGGTGCGGAGCGGCCCGCGATCCTCAAGCGAGCTCCGCTACCATGCACGCGCACCCACCCCCCTCGCGGAGAAAGGGGGGAGGTGAGGGTCGCTCTTTTTCTCGAGCAACAAAGGGCTGCAGGATTTCCTGGATCCTCCAGGACACTCTAGATTATATTTTATATAATCATATATCTATGTGAAACTACAAACTTCCTAGCACTCACTCATTGAATTCCTCCTGCTTCTCCTCTCCCCTCCCCTCCCCTCCTGCCCTCCCCTCCCCTCCCCTCCTTCCCTCCTTCCTTCCCCTCTCCGCTCCCCTCCCCTCCTCTCCTCTCCTCCCCTCCTCTCTCCTCCGCTCCAGCCCTTCCTTCCCTTTCTCCCATCCCTGACTCCATCTGCGACCTCATCGATACCCTCGCTGACCCTCGTGCCGATCAAATATTTACTCTCTCATTACCCCGAGGTCGACCTCATCGTCGACGTATCGTCCACCCTTCTGCCTCCACCACCCCGCTGGGTCCCTAAGAACTCCAAGACGCATGGGGCAGGGCGAATCTGCCCATCACCAACAAGTCAACACCTTCGATGCTACGATCCCCGTGAGAGAAGCGGCAGACCCGCATCAAGTCCCGAGCCCTTGCAAATACATACAAACAAAGCTGGAAGGTCCGCACCCCAATGGCTACGAACCCTCGTCAAATACGGCCCAAACATGGCACAACATTGCTCAAGATGCGTGCAAGACGTCCTCGGGACGGCCCAACCGGCCACCGAAGCGGTCCAACCCTGCTTTGCGAGGCCTTTCCAAGAAGAGCCCAGGAAAACGCGAACTATTCGTTTCCATTTGCTTCTTGAACGAATTGGGACACCTCGCCGGTTCGGCCCCCCGACGCTCCACAACGGCTCGGAGAATCCCCAGGACGACTACCAAACGGCCGAAGATCCCCCCCGCGAAGAAGGCCCCGAGGCGTTCCAAGAGAACCTCCAAGCCGCCCTCCTCCTCCTCGTACTCCTCCTCCATCTCGTCCTCACCATCCTCCTCATCCTACTGCATATCTGCTGCTCATATTCCCCTCCTCCTCCTCCTCCTCCTGCCTCTCCTCCTCCTCCTCCTCCTCCTGCCGAAGACTGCGGCAAAACGGCCCCAAGAGAAGAGCCCCACCAAAGAAACGGCAAGCCGCATATTCAAGCTTCCTGCCTCGAGAAAGCCAGCGCCGCCACAAGAGGCCTCCAGGAGGCCACAAACATAGAACCCATTGAAACTCGAGTGGTTTTGAAACGCGTGGGACTTATCGCTCCAGAGGCCCAAGAGGCCCCAGGGCGGCCTAAGAAAATGCCCAAGACGGCCAGAAACGTTCCCGAAGACGGCGCCGCAAGCCGAAAACGCAAGCCTTCCGTGCCGAGAGGGCTCCCGGAGGCTCAACGACGAGCTCTGTAGGCCCGGTAGGACCACTCCTAAGAGGCATCGTGGCTTCTATTCGTCTCTCTTTTTGTTGATTGCTCTCTCTCTCTCTCGGTGTGCCTCGGTCTCTCTCTCTCTCTCTCTCTCTCGGCTTTCGGGCTCCCCGAGATCCCCGGAGCCCACGTTTGCGAACGTCTTGGGCCGTTCGTGGGCCGTACCGACAGCGAGTAGGTTTACAGAAGGTAGTCCTCCCTGCTCCCTTTTTCTTTTTTGTTCAGTGCGGACCTTACCTGGGAGGCCGACTCCAAAAAGTAAGACGCGAACGAAGATGCAGGATGGCTCATGCGGTCCGCGGGCCTGTTTCTCATAGCAAAGCCACTAGGTTTACAGCAGGTTATCTTTCTTGCTGATTTTGTTTTTCTCTTTTTGCGCGTTTTTTTCTGGGAAGCCGACTCCAGAAAGTATGACGCGAGCGAACGCAAGAGGGAGGGAGGAGGACGAGGAGGGAGGAGGCGGAGGGAAGGACCAGGGAGGGAGGATTAGGGAGGGAGGAGGAGGGAGGTGGATGGACGGGGTGTCCGCGCCCTCCCTCCTCCTCCTCCTCCTCCTCCTCCTCGTCCTCCTCGTCCTCCTCCTCCTCCTCCTCCTCCTCCTCCTCCTCCTCCTCCGTGCCTCGTGCCCCGAACATCGAGCCCTGAGCCGTGATGCCTGAACCCTGGGCCCCTGGGCCCTGGGCACTGAACGCCGTGCGCTGCGCCCTCAGCCCTGAAACCTGCGCCCCGTGCCCTGTGCCTTGCGCCCCGAGACTGGACCCCTGAGCCGTGAACCCAAAGCCCTGAGCCGTGAGCCCTGTGCCCTGATCTTTCCGCCGCGTGCCCCAGCACCAGGCACGAGCCTTGGGCCCTCGTGCCCTGCGCCCCGAGCCTTGAACCCAGGGCGGCGACCTCTGAGCTATCAGCTCTGGATTTCGGGCTCTGGCTCTTCGCCCTGGGCCAAAAGCCCCTGCGGAACCAGAAGGAATCTGGGAGAATCCAGACCCCTCAGGCCCCTCAGGAGTCTCGAAGATTCCAAAGGGATTCGCAGAATGCCATGCAAAACAATTCGTCCGGAATCCTTAGGAAACCATAGAATTCCATGTGCACCAAGGACCTCCCAAAGCAGAACATGGACCTCGGATTCCCCTAGTAGTAGTAGTAGTAGTAGTAGTAGTAGTAGTAGTAGTAGTAGTAGTAGTAGTAGTAGTAGTAGTAGTAGTAGTAGTAGTAGTAGTAGTAGTAGTAGTAGTAGTAGTAGTAGTAGTAGTAGTAGTAGTAGTAGTAGTAGTAGTAGTAGTAGTAGTAGTAGTAGTAGTAGTAGTAGTAGTAGTAGTAGTAGTAGTAGTAGTAGTAGTAGTAGTAGTAGTAGTAGTAGTAGTAGTAGTAGTAGTAGTAGTAGTAGTAGTAGTAGTAGTAGTAGGTAGTAGTAGTCGTGGAAATAGTAGTAGTAGCAGTAGTAGTAGTAGGAGAAGAAGAAGTAGAAGTAGTAGTAGAAGTAGAAGTAGAATAATAATAAGTAGTAGTATTAGTTGTAGTAGTAGCAATCGCAGTAGTAGTAGTAGTGCAAGTGCAAGTACAAGATCAAGTACAAGTACAAGTTCAAGTTCAAGTTCAAGTACAAGTACAAGTACAAGTACAAGTACAAGTACAAGTACTAGTACAAACACAAGTGCAAGTACAGTAGTACCACGAACACTCCTGTTAGAAACAAGATTTCCAAGTATACGAAAACATGAAGCGTGCACGCAACGAATATCAATTGAACATGAAACGTAAACGAGCCGAACATGACACGCTTACGAAGCCTATGTGAAGCGCAAACAAAAATCTCATGCAACGTAAACGCGAACGAAACGCTTAGGAAGCGTATATTATGCGCCGATGTAGCGTATAGGCAACGCAAACGAAACGTATATGAACGCTACATGAACCTCATTCGGTGCATATCTGGTACGTGTAAAAGGTACGAACCATGTACGGAACGTTCTCGAAAGGCACACAACACGTAAGCGAAACGTGTACACATAATCCGCCGACCCCACGAGGCGCGTGCGGAATCCCCTTTCCCACCACGCCCGACATGTCCAGTCCCTGGAGCCTCTGTGCATCGGCCTGGGACCCCCCCCCACGGACGCCCGACGTCCCCCGGTTCTCAAGGACCCTCCAACCTGCAAAATCCGTCCCGGGACCCCCCACCGCGCCCCCACCACGCCTGACACGGCCAACCTGCGGCCTCTGGACAAAATCCTCGCCGGGCCCCCCCCCACCGCGGCTCCACCGCGCACCCACCACGCCTGACACCGCCAGCCTGCGGCCTGTGGGCATCGGTCTTCAAAGCCACCACCCTGCAAAATCCTCGCCGGGACACTCGGCGAGTCCCCCCCACCGCGCCTCCACCGCGCCCCCACCACGCTTGTTTTGCCAGCCTCCTGGCGCCTCCTGGGCGTCGGTTTAGGGCCGCCCACCCTGCAAAATCCTCTCCCGGACGCCCTCCACCGCGCTTCCACCGCGTCCGCACCACGCCTGACACCGCCAGCCTCCTGTGGTCTCTGGGCATCGGTTGTCAGGGCCACCCACCCTGCAAAACCCTCGCCAAGATCTTCGCCAGGGCTCCCCTCCACCGCGCCCCCACCACGCTTGTGGAGGCCCTGGGCATCGGTTTAAGGCCACCCACCCTGCAAAAGCATCGCCGGGACGCCCTCCACCGCGCTTCCACCGCGTCCGCACCACGCCTGACACCGCCAGCCTCCTGGGGTTTCTGGGTATCGGTCTTCAGGGCCACCCACCCTGCAAAATCTTCGCGGACATATCTTGACAAGACGCCCGAAGTGGCGTGCAACCCCCCAGACATGCCTCCAAGATGCCTCAAAGAGCCACGAACAGCCTCCACGAGAGAGCCTCGACAAGTAAAAGTATGTCCCATACCCGTGGGAAAAATTAAAACTTTCTGCAAATCATCTCTGGGGCTTTCAGTGCGCCCAAGACACCCCACAAAACCTCAAAGGCGGCACCAGGGTTAGCTTCAAGCTCCACCCCCCTTTAATATTGCGTTCCGCACGGGCGCGATCTTTACGGGCTGAGCTATGGCCCGAAAGCCACACGGAGGAACGCCGATCGAAACTACGATCGCTCCGCCTCGCCGAGGGCGCCTGGAAGGGCCCGCGTCGTCCCGAACAGCCGCCGGAGACCCCAAGTATGAGGCGCGCGCGGCATGCCAAGAAACCACCAGATACATCCAAGAGGCTCCTGACCCACAGCCCAGGCACGGTGGCGAGCTGGGTCGAAGACCACGAGATCGGCCGCCCCCTGTCGTTTCATCACAGCGCTGCCCGGCGTGCGGAATCCTTTCGGTTTGGGTTCTTTTCCCCGAAAAATCTCCTCTGGAGGCCCGAGCACAAGAAACCCTCCACAAGAAACCCAACCCTCCTCCTCCTCCTCCTCCTCCTCCTCCTCCTGCTCCTCCTCCTCCTCCTCCTCCTCCTCCTCCTCCTCCTCCTCCTCTTTTGTTTTTTCCACAAGAACTCTCCCCTGGGGCTCCTGTCCAGCCCGCTGGCCGCCCGGAAGGGCTCGAACAACCCGGTTGGCGAAGTTTTTTCCTGCTCCTAGCGGCTCCAAGATGGCCCAGGCTGGCCTCCAAGATGTGCCTTTTGCTCGAAGCGAGCGTTTCTGACTGGCCGATTGAGTGCACGCGCCGCGAAACGGATAAACCTCCGACAGCCACTGCGAGCCCGCGTCATCCTCCTGGCAGCCTGCAAGACGCCCCAAGAAGGCTACAAGGAAACCTCCAGCAAAGCCCAGCGAAGCTGAACTCTTCCCAGCGGTACTAAACACCCCTAGACGCTTTCACACCGAGGGCTCCCCAAGACAGCCGAAAAGGCCTCCAAGACGGCCCAAGTCCCGAGAACACCACAACTCGGCCCGGGGGAATCTCTCGGACAGCCCGCAAGGCCCCTCAGACAGGCCGAAGTCGACTCCAAGAGCCCCACCAAACGAACCCCGAAAACGCCAAACGGCCTAAGAACGTTCAGCCAGGCCCACGGCTCTTCGCGGTCTACCGGACAAGCATGCAACTGGAAGAGTCGAACGACCCTTCTCGTTGACGTCGAAAATCCCAACCCATCTGGGGTCGGCGGCAGAGGCGGCAGCCTTAGAATAAACTAAACCATACGAACGCATACGGCACGTCAACGCCAACAAGCACAAGTCGTCCAGTTCCCTTGAGGACATGTACAATTTTAGCATATCAGACTTGTGGCCCTCAAAGCGTCCACGATGGCCCTAGAGGCCCCCGCGGTCACCCCAAGATGGCCCCCAAAGCCCTGCAGAGAGCCCAAATACAGCCCACGGGCACCCCAAGACGACCCAAAAGAAGCCCAATACGGCCCAAGAGTGCCGCGAGAGAGCCCCAAGAGGCGGAAATCGAAAGAACACTTTGAGCTTGCCGCCACAACGAGACCTCCGACCCCGCCAGCAGGCTCCCAAGAAACATTCGATGGGCCCCAAGAATCCCCCAGTAAGCACCAAAGAGGCCCAAAAGAAGTCCCAAGAGGCCCCCTAAACGGCCCCTAAGAGGAGCCGAAGAGGCTTCAAAACTGCCTCCAAGAGGCTCCCGAGACGCTGCGTCAAACTCCCAGGGAGCGGCCGGTGATGCGCCGCCGGCGTTCTCGATAAACTAAACCATACGAACGCATACGGCACGTCAACGACAAACATGCGCAACGTGTGCGACGCACGGACGAAACGCAAACCATAAGTTTGCGGAACGTACACGAACCGTGTATGGCACGTATTCAACGCGAATGAATTTCACATACGAAACGTATACGCACCGCTACGAAAAATATGTGAGACGTATCAAATACATGAAAGTTGGTAAGGTGCGCCGTAAAAGCTGCTAACGCCCTAACTTATGCTAAGGAACGCTTGGAGCAAAAATGGTAAAACTTCGAAAACTGCACGATCTTGAGCACTTACATCCACAGAATGGACCAATTCACGAAGGAATGGACCGTCTTACCGGGGAACAAATATTTTCCACCGCCCCTGCAGGCAGAAGCGGCAGCAGGAGGGGAAGAAGAGCTGAGGAAGGAAGGACCGAGACAAACACGCGACCCCCCCGAACCCAGACGGGGCTACCATCAACATAAGCACGCGCCAAGACGGAGGGGTAAAACACAGGTCGACAAGTCGTTCGTGTGGTTGGAGGCCTGGGGACGAGCAAGGAGAGCGGTGCTTTCGCCGGCGTCGCCTGCCCAAACGGTATGCCTGTTTCCAGGCTCCAAGGCGTCGGCGGCGTATGCGCGGTGAGTCTGGCTGTTGTCACCTCGGCCTCGTTCGAATGCTGATCTGGGGTTCCCTGGTGGGCGCTCGGCGATGCCCCCCGCGGACCGCATGCGCTCAATCAGGGTTTCTGATCCATCTGAGATGGTTCAGTGGTTGTAGTAGTTGCATAGCCCCCGGGGCGCCAAATCCCAGGGATCAGAACATCATTGCAGTGAGAAGTTGGAAATCCAGTATGTAGAATCCAACCGGTTGTGTCTCGAGGCGTGCCATCTCGAACCTGGCAACGGTTTCATCGATGCGCTCGCACTTCTGGGCACGTGGAAGTCGAACAGTCGAGTACGTGAGGTGAAACGACGTTCATTTTTGAGGCGCTCGAATTTCATGCTCCGAATGAGCATGACGTGCGTGGTGAGATCGGTGTGAGTGCCTCATATGTTCACGCAGAATTGTATGATGTCCAGAGGGATACGCATGGCGATCTTGCGCGCGAGGCCCCCTAATTAGCCCTTGCTGGAGGGCCGCAATTTGTTGCTTAGGGGTCATGCGTGCGCCCATTGAAACCAGCCACGCGCTGATCCCATGAACAAATTCCTGAAACGGTACACTCCTGGCGGGGTCCCAAAATGGGAATGTGTATTTTGTCGTCGCTGTTTCCATTGCGGTGTATATACCCAGTAGCGGACCCAATGCGTTGCATATACCCAGTAGCGGACCCAATGCGTAGCCATGCGATAGCACGGATCACAAGCCCTACAAGGTTCAACCGTGAAGTGTGTTGCTCGGGCTCACTTCCGCACGCAACTTCTGTCTCTGTGGGTGCGGAAACGCGTCGTAGTTCGAGGGCGACGAGCTTCCGTGCGGAATGTTTCCTGGGGTGAAGACTTCAGATGTGCGAAAGTTTTCGTCCGAAGGTCTGACAAGTTTGAAGTCTTTCACCTTCGTGAAAATATGTTGAGCCTTTCTGGTCGGCTCAAACAAATTGAGTTTGTTTCCAAACCCACATCGGAAAGATCCACGTACTCGCGGGTGGAGTGTCGGCTAATTGTCGGGAGTATCAACGGTCACGTGGATCGGGCCGAATAAGAAAGAGAGCTACCAAAGATGGGAACAAGCTGCACGAGAGTTTGGCCAGCTCCGCTACAAAGTCGACAGCAACGTAGTAATACACATGGTACGTCGCAGGCGATATCGAGTAATTATATTGGATGGGGTTCAAGGGGTGAGTAGAAGGATGACAATCCTGTTCCCTCTCATATAGGACGCCAGTCTAGGCGTCGACGTATAGGGCGTGCACACCTGGAGCCGAGAGAACTGAGGAGCGCGCGTCGCGTCACCCCGGACGTCTCCTTTCAAATAGACGGGAAGGGGAGGGACCCAAAACTCTGACGGCATTTTGTCTCCGCGGCGTGTTACACTGACCTCTCGACCCCATCCAAACGGTTCCCCGAACGCGTTGACGAACGCCCTCGCTGCTGCAATAAAAAAATGAGTGCTCTCCTGGACCTCTCGAACCCTTCTCTGGGGCGACCGCTTCATCACCTCGCAAGATGCCAAAGGAGGCCCTGGCACAAGGTGGCTCACCAGCGTCGCCACGACCGCCATGGTGGCCTCCAGAGCACCTCTCACGAGGCCCAGAGGGCCGCAGGCACTCCGACATGGCCCGAACACCGGGGGGCACCTTGGGCCTGGATCACCTCATGCAAAAACCGATCTGAGGAGGAACGTTAGGAGGAGGCTGGCTGGCTGGGGGGGGAATATCGATCTGGAATCGGCGATACATCGCCGATTGATCGGCGATAGGCCCCCGATAGCGAATCCGCACGTGCCTGGGCGTGGCGAGCTGCCGGGCCCCTATATCGGCAATCAGTGGCTGACTGGGGGCCAATGCATTCGCCTTGAGCCTCTCCACCCCCGAACGCTGCCCCTGAGGATCATCCTGCGCCGTTTCGTTGACGTGTCCGGTGCCCGCAAAACAGGGGGTCAAGACACTAGAGGCCTCCTAGGTGGGGTCGGAGTAGATGGGGTCGGAGGATCGCGCCGCATCGCCGATACATCGGCGATACAACGGCGATGCATCGGCGATGTATCGGCGATGCACCGGCGATGCATCGTCGCCTTCGGCGACGCATCGGCGATGCTGACGGGAAGCAGAGCGGGCTGCACATCGAGCCGCATCGGCGATGCATCGGCGATGCGTCGCGATCCTCCAACCCCATCTACTCCGACCCCATCCAGGAGGCCTGGAGACACCAAAGATGGTGAACAAAACACTGGCGCGACTCTCCTGGCGAGGCGCCGGAGTCGGCTGGTGGGAGGCTGCGGCGCGGGCCGGCCTTGGCAGCGTCCAGGGCCGCCCCGTGCTCCGCCAGGGCGCGCCGGTGCTCCGCGCGGAAGGCCTCTCCGCCGCCGCGCGCGGGGAAGAGGCAGCCCGAGCCGGGGGCGCCGTCTCGTCCTTCTTGTCACGGGGGCCCCCAGACGGGCTGGTGGCCTCACCAAGTGGTGAGTCAACGGGGATTCGAGGTCACCGCGCGGTTCTGGGACTTGGGTCGTTCTCCGAGGATGTTTCGAACTACTGGGGCCTCCCGGGCCCCAAAACCGCATGGTGACGGACCCTGCGGTGAGGTCTCTGGGGATCTCGAGGTCCCCGCCGGGTCTGTCGCCACAGGGTTTTGGGACCCCGAGCCCGCCCGAGCCCGCCTGCGGCCGCTGCGGCCTGCAGCGAGTCTGATCTGCGCGCCGAGGTCGACCCCACCCCGCCGGGACCGGTGCGGGCCTTCGACTTCGAAGCGTGCATCGTGTGGTCTGCAGGGGCCCCCATGGGTGATGCACCTGTGGAAGGCTGTGCACGCCCAGGCCATGCGCGCGAAGACTTCCTCGCCCAGGATGGCGGCTCTTGCCGGTTTTGCAGGGGTCTCGGGGCGTCGTTGGGCGGAAATCTCAGGGGGAACACTGCGTGACGCCACCGCGAGCTGGAGGCTGGATGCGTTCAGCCAGATTCCTTGGATGTCCTGCTCCAACGCTCTCTTCGCCTGGGGCGGAGGCCACGGCGGTTCGGACGACGGATGTAGCTGCCTCTGACATCATAGGTACATTTGCTGGCATTCGGGGTTCGATTGGGACCCTTGGAAAGTTTCTCCAAAAGCCGTTGGCAGCCTCGGAGAACGAGAGCGGAGTCTCGTCCGCAGTTTGATCTCTGGTGCCCGCTGGCCCCGAGCGAAGCTCTGGAGCGGTAGAGGTTCGTCCGACACGGGTCTGATTTGTAGCAAGTGAGGCACCCTCTCCCACACAGGCGGGAGAGAGGAGCATCACTGCCCTTAACCGGCCACTCTCAGAGAATGGGCATGCCGTTCGAGCTAGGGAACGCGACCTGGAAAGTTCCCAGACTCGGCGATGATGAAGCTGCGCTCTTTCCGCACTGCCCGCGTTCCTCCACTGGTGCCCATTTTCGTTTTATTCGCGGTAACGCCCCATGTTCATGTCACGATTCGCGTCGTCTCGCCGTGTAGAACGTAGCCACTCCCAAGCATTCCCGGACGGTGCCGGGGCGAATCGTGACGTGACTGGCCCCCTCCCCCCTCCCCCCCCCAGTGACGCCCGTTGTCGCTAGGGGAGTTGTCAAAAAACGGACTCCTGAGAGATGCTTCGTCGAGGCCTGCGAGCGTAAAATCGGGCAGGCCGCTGAGTGGCAAGGTAGACTGCACGCCTGGCTGCATACTGGGGAGTTCAAGGGTGCCGTTGGCGTCGGAGGCACTGCCGACGTTGTGCAGCACACGGACAATGATGAGACTCAGTTGGAAGCCCACTTCGCGAGCGCATGAACTGCCCATCGCGATGCCCGCGAGCGGCTGCGCCTCTGCCTTCGAGGGGCGGTGCCTGCGGCCATGCACCAGGCTGACGAGATGGCACAGGCCCTCGCGGCGGAGTCGAGCCCTGCCGATGAGAGCGAGAGTAAGGAGGAGAAGCAGGAGAAGGAGGAGGAGGAGGAGGAGGAAGAAAGTTCTAAATAGACGAAGGAGAAGGGGCGATACACGCTTGGTTTGGCCTGTTCCGTGAGAGGGGAAACCCCCAACCACCCCTGGGGAGCTCACTCCTTGATGGTATGGCTAGGATTTCCTGTCCCCATGCGCGATTCCGTCCCTACAGCCGACGCCCGGTTCGGGTATCGCCTCGCGCACAAGGAGTGAGCATCTTGGATTAGCCACACATCGAAGGAGGCTCCGTGAGGCCTCCACCCCAAGTTGAACAGACCTCCTCCTCCTCCTCCTCCTCCTCCTCCTCCTCCTCCTCCTGAAGCTCGGGTATTTGTGCACGCCGTCGCTGGAGATCCGAGCTCACTGGGCGAGGAGATTGCCTTTTCCAGATGCGGTTGCTGGTCATGGCCCAGCTTTGGCAGAACATGGGTTGGAGGTCCCCGATCCACGAGTGCTTCGGGCTACTGCGTCGCAGGGTGTCTCCGATCCCCGCGAGGCCATCGAATGATGCCGACGTGAGAGAAGCAGGGCGAGAGAGAGGCCCGCGAAGCGCCTGCCCAGGGGGAAGGCGCCATCGTCAAGCTTCAACTGGCGTGGCGACAATCGGGGCAGCTGGTTACTGAGTCGACGGTACCCTGGCTTCCTAAGGATGACCAGACACACAGAGTTTCGCATCGTGTTGCTGGTTCATGTCTGCGGAGCTTGTGGCCTGGGTATCTCCGATACGCAAGGGAGGGGACCCCCCCTTCAGGAATGTTTCACGTCTGCGCGCTCTCTGGCTGCGAGGAGGGTGCTTGCACAATGTTCTGATTCACCTGATTCATCGCCTGCTTCCCCTCCTCCTCCTCCTCCTCCTCCTCCTCTTTTTGCTCCTCCTCCTCCTCCTCCTCCCCATCATCTCCATCATCATCGTGATGATCAGTAGCAGCAACACCGCCACCATCATCCCCACCACCACCGCCATCAACATCATTATCATCATCAATATCATCATATTTATCATCATGGCCATCATGATCACCATCATCACCATCATCATCATCATCGTCATGGTCATCATGATCATAATCATGATCTTGATCATCACCATGATCACCATCACCATCGTCGTCAGCATGGTCATCATCAGCACCATCAGCAGCATCATCGTCGTCTCCATCACCAGCATCCCCTTATTTGCATCATCCGCATCACCACCCACATAATCATCAGTATCAACACCATCATCAGCGTCAGCAGCATCATCATCACCATCAGCACCATCGTCGTCATCATCACCATCAGCATCGTGATTGTCATCACCAGTATAATCAACATCGGCATCAGCATCATCGTCATCACCATCATCATGACCATCATCATCAGCAGCATCATCAGCATAATCAGAATCGGCATCATCATCATGATCCCCATCACCACAATCATCATCACCATCAGCAGCATCAGCATCAGCATGAGCATCCGCATCAGCATCATCATCAGCAGCATCAGCATCATCAGCAGCATCGTCACCATGATCATAAGCAACAGCAATACTATCGTCGTCGTCGTCGTCAGTAACTATTAGCATCATCTTCAACAACATCATCATCATCATCGTCGTCGCCTTCGTCGTCGTCGCCAGCATCAGCATCATCATCACCATCCCCATCACCATCATCAGCATCATCATCAGCATCATCATCATTACCATCATCATAATCATCATCAGCATCCCCTCTCATGATCATCATCGGCATCACCATCAGCACCACCAGCATCAACAGCATCATCACCATCACCATCAACACCGTCATCGCCATAATCAACATCATCACCCTATCATCATCGTCGTCATCAGCATCACCATCATCATCATCATCATCAGCACCGTCGTCATCATCATTATCTTCACCATCATCGTCATCGTCATCGTCATCATCATCATAATCATCACCGTCATCATCATCATCATCATCATCATCATCATCATCATCATCATCATCATCATCATGCCCAAAGGGCCTCAATTATTGCCAGCCCCATAGGTTCCCAAGACGGCCCACATGGACGCAAAGAGGGCCCTACGAGGGACCAAAGTCCAAAGAGGCGGAATCGGAGGTTTGGGGGTGAGATTGCAATGTAACGGAGTCCCCCCACCGGGAAATCGAGTTTCGAGTTCGTGCTCGTGCCGTGCGTGCGGGCGAGGCGAAGCTTCGTGGGCCAGCGAGACGAATTTACTCTGCTGTCGCTAGGGGTCCGCCAACACAAATGCTTCCCCCCCCCCCGGCCTTGTCAAGCGGTAGCCCACGTTGTCCCGTCGGTTGCCCGTCGGTTGCCCGCCGGTAGCCCACGTTGTCCCGTCGGTTGCCCGTCGGTGCACCCATCGTCGACTGGGACGTCGTGGGCTGAGTGCCGCGTCGCGCAGCGGCAAACCGAACGACACAAGTCGCCCAAGCGAAGGAACAAAAAAAAATCCGCCACGTCATCCACACCATCATCGCCCATCAGCACCACGTTCATCACAGTTGTCGTCATGAGCAACCCCCCTCCCCCCACCCCCCACAACCTCCTTATCACCCGCAGGGTGGTCGTATAGGTATAAACTGGAATTTCGAGCCTTTCCCCCCGAGATGGCTCCAAGAGATCCCCAGAGGCCCCCGAGGCGCCCCGAAGCGGCCCCTAAGGAGAAAGCTCCGACGAGCTCCCCAGATGCCTCCAAGAGCCCTCCGAGAGGCA